ATTCCTGCTTGCATAAAACAGCCAATCCTTCTCAGTCCTTAGCACCCTTCCTAGAAGTAAATTAGATGAGCTCACTAAACTGACATTTCGTGTTTGGTAGCATAAGCAGTGACTTCCCGATATTCAGCGGTTACCCGGCAGCACTAGAAAAGTGCTTGCTAATTTTGCATTTGTGAATTATAAAACAGTTTTTGGATAAAGGTTCTCCTTTATCCAAACAAATCCTATTTTCTTAGAACTCTCTTTTCAGCCCTTCTTTAACTTTAGCTTGCCATGACGAGAGTGCTTCTCTGAACCCAGCCCCCTGGGGAAAAGGTGCCTGGCATCCTTACTCTCCAGTCCCTGGAGGAGGGGCACTGCTGCGATAAGGACAATGGACCATTTGGCAGGGTAGGTGGGGCCGTTCCAGGGAAGAAGTCCCTCCAGTCAGAGGGTAACCAAGGCACAGACTTGGAAGGGGTCCTGGAATGCCTAGGGGCCTGCAAGTTTGTCTACTCCCTGTAGAAGGTGAGGTGATGAGAAATGGAGTGGACCGAGCAGGAAGAAATGAGGAACTGGCTCACCGAGGGGCTTGAATGTGTCGTGTGACAGTGTTGGGACTTTGACCCTGAAAATACAACAGACCTTGTGAATAAATTGTACTGAAAAATTATACTTATATGTGAAAATGAAGGTTCTTTAAGCATTATTATACATAAGAGGCCCTCAATGAATATTTCCTCTATCACGCAAATAAGTCATGTAAACAAGAAATAGTTCCTAAGCTATTTAAGAGCACAAGCTGAACTCTTTTAGAAACATTACGCATGTTTTGATTAGAAATAGACCTAATGTTTATCAGTTCATTAAAATAGTTTTCCACTAGAACCTGTAAGCATTTCCTTAACTAACTTTAGTCCCTGTGATGTTCTTAAAAATCATAAAACTGAATTTCCTTTAAGGTAAAACTATAGTTCAGGCTTTTGACCAACTAATATCGTGTGCATTGTGAGGCTTTATTATTTTTCTTCTTTTATTTTTGAGGGTTAAGTTAGTTCAGTTATTAAATTAGTATTAGTTATTGAAATAGTATAAATATTAATATTACATTTACTATCATTTCTAAACATTTTGATATTCTGGTTAAAAAAAAGTAAGATGAGTTAATAATACAGATAATAAAGTAATATGTGCTAAAACTCTTATTTTCTCCAAATCCAAATATTTGGATACTCTAGCAGAATTACCTAAATTATCCACTAAATAAAGTTAATTTTTTTGCAATGGCAAAAAATAAATTGTGCTTTCAAGCCTTTACCATGTTACTGAATTTTGTTCAATGTCTAAAACATCAGGGACTAACACACACATAACTGTGACATTAAAAGCTCCGTTATTCCAAAGAAAATGAGCCTCATAAATCCGTATTTTTACAAAAGCGCCTCAGAAGCAAGCTG